GAGATGCCCGTGGAAGTGGGGAGACAGGTTGGGCCGCTGGTCCAATCATCTGTCTTGAGATGATATTGACTTGGCCCAGAGTGGTTGGCAGGAAGAAAGCCCCTTGTGATGACAAACTCCTTCTCACTCCTCCCAGCTCTTCCTCTCCTTCCTGAATCAGCAGCTTCTTTCCCTGAAGAGCGTCTTTGCTGAAGCAGGGATTCCCAGCAGATTTACCATTTTGGAGCAATCCTCAGCCCTACTTGTGTTGCACAGGTGCTTTATCAGCTTTTCTTTGCAGTCTTTTCAAAGTACGCAATTACAATAATACAGCATTTTGTTTGTCTTTAAGGTATCCATTGATTTTCTCAGAGGACCGGATTGATAATGCTTCTGAATGCCAAGCTTAAAATCATTGATTTTTTTTTTTTTTTTTTTTGAGGCGGAGTCTCGCTCCGTAGCCCGGGCTGGAGTGCAGTGGCCGGATCTCAGCTCACTGCAAGCTCCGCCTCCCAGGTTTACGCCATTCTCCTGCCTCAGCCTCCCGAGTAGCTGGGACTACAGGCGCCCGCCACCTCGCCCGGCTAGTTTTTTGTATTTTTTTAGTAGAGACGGGGTTTCACGGTGTTCGCCAGGATGGTCTCGATCTCCTGACCTCGTGATCCACCCGTCTCGGCCTCCCAAAGTGCTGGGATTACAGGCTTGAGCCACCGCGCCCGGCCAAAATCATTGATTTTTATCTTGGATGCCTTTGAAGAGGTATATTTAGAATTGTGTGACATAAATGGAGCTATACTTGCTAAAGGTTAACCTAGCAGGAGCGTTGAGGTAAGACAATGAAGTAAGAGGTGGACGTGTTGAGTTTTAGGTGACAGGAGGCTGTTCAAGTTGAAATTGTCAGTGTGGAGGCTAAATGAAGCTGAATTCCAAGATTGTTGAGTTGGAAGAGACATGAGTGGGATAAGCTTATGGTAAGTGGTCTGGATCTTTTTAGCAATACAGAAAGTCAGTTGGAAAAAAAAATAAAAAGCAAGCCACGATGCTGCTGAAAGTCAAGCTTAATTGCTGCAGCAGTTTTGGAGTTACCACTCCAAAGGTTTTTCTGGGGACTAACCAAGTGAAGAATGAAGAAACTGCCAAGCACCAGCAAAGATCCACTTGAAGTTGACATGTGTTTTTAGCAAAGTCAGCCTTTGATCAGGCTTACTCTGCCAGGGGCCGAGCAACTGGTGCTAATGTTAACTACTGTTCAGAGAGTTTGGATTTTAGTCACTGATACTTTGAGAAGACGTTATTCTCATGTTTGTTCTTAACAGTAAATAAAAGACTGATTTGTTGTTTTCCTCTCTTTTCACTTTGACCTGTCAGGGGCCTGTAAGTAGTAAGCATTGCCTGTGGAATCCAGTATAAGGAATTTTAATCAACAATTTTTCATAGACCTATTAAACTTGGCTTGTTACATTTAGAATCTGAGCTGTTAGGAAAAATGAAAGCTCTCAAACTTAGCATAATCGCTTTTGTTTGTAGTAGTTTCTATAGCATATTGAAGTTTTAAGGTATATGTCTACTCAGGTGCAGTTTTTGAAATATTTTTGAGGAACTACTACTCACAATAATATCCTGAAGTAGAAATTTGCTAACTGAATGGAAACAGACACCATATTAGGACCTCCTTTTTTATATATATTAGGTTAAAAATGGTGTATTTGTAGCCAATCCAGTTCAGGAACGTACAATACTAATGAGAAAAGAGGGCGAGTGTGCAAAAAGCATTAATGAGATGCTTCCAACTAAGTAGACTTTCTCGATAGTCTCCCCGTCAGCAGCACTCGCTGCCATGGCTGGTCCCACCATCTCCAACACTCTGAAACAGGATCAAACAGCTATGTTGCTCTGAGCTTCCCAGACTTGTTCCCCTGTATAGCCCTGTTCATCTATGTTTTATTGAGCACTTACTCTGTGCTTTACAAAGCCCTTACCTATGCATACTTGACCGTCTTTTTTCTTCCAGTCATTGTCCAGATTTTTATTCCAGTCAATACACGTTGCAAGCTATGGACGTAAATTTGCATGAACCTATAAGAATGCAAAACGGCCCCATTTTTAACTACAAACACTTTATCATCATCACTGTTAGTATAAATTAGTTGATTTCCTGTTTTGCATATGCTTTGTGAATGTGGAAACCTGATACTCAGCATCATCTTTGCTAAATACAGTCTTGACCAAGCAAGTAAAAGCTTTCTATAGGAGATACTTTGTTTTTAGAATTTACCATTATTTTTGTAGTTTAATGTTTTAAAATAGATGTACAGAGTGTGAAAGTCAAAACAGTGTACAAAGGTTTATGCAGAGAAGTGTTATTCCCACACTGTTGATGAATTCTATATTCTGCCCCCACAGGTAACCACATTTGTTTTCACTTATTCTTCCAGGGTTTCTTCATGCAAATATAATCACATTATATATGTTCTTAATTTCTACCTTAATAGAAGGTAGCAAACTATATATGCTGTTGCGTACCTTTTTTTTTTTTTTTTTTTTTTTGAGATGGAGTTTGACCCTGTCACCCAGGCTGGAGTGCAAAGTCATCTGTGACCCCCCCAAAAGATTAAAAATCATCATTCCATAAGAGTTTACACATAACATACGAAAATACCTGGATTTGTAACAAACCATGAGCTGTAGTAAAAAGACAAGGCTAGAAAAAGATGCCATATGTAGAAAAATGCATCTGAATTAATATGTATTTAATGAATTCAGTGTAAGTTTATGCTTTACTTTTATAGTTGGAAATGCTAGAAACGGAAAATATTTATGATTAATTCATTATGAGACTACGAAGTTAAATACTTACACCAAATGAAATACTTATTAGTCCACACTAGAATTTAAGAACAGTATTTTATTTTCATAGGCCTCTATTGTATCAAATATAAATGATAAAATGGTTAATAGTGGTTATAATTTGCATAATTGGATACTTTGAACTGTAGAAAATACTTTTTAGAGGACAATTTGTTTGTTTTACCTGAATAAACATTGTCATGACAAGTTAAAGGCTTGATCTGGGCTTGTCCAATGGGAGAAAATTAAATCTTACTCTAAAAAATGGAAATACTAAAGGAATGCTTGTTGAAAATGTGTGCAATATAAAAAAAAAAAAGCCTTCAGAAGGCAAGGGTATATTTAGAACTTGGTAGAAATTGGTTTGTAAACATTTAATTTCAGTGTATTTTTTTTTTCTTTCTGAAAGACGAGCTCTTCCTCTGTTACTCAGGCTGGTCTCGAACTCCAGGGCCCAAGTGAGGATTGTACTTTTATATGCATTCTCTGTTTATTAATAACATGATGTCACTACATTGAAATTCACCAGTTATAAACTGAATAAAGTTTTGAAAATTAGGTGAACATTCAGGAGGTCTATAAGTTTTTATTCCTTTATAAATTACTACCTATTACTATGTTAATAAGAGTGTGCCTGTTAAAAACATCTTGGTAAAAATGTTATGCTAACAAAGTTGCTAATTTTTCAGTTATTCTCCTTTTTGGGTTTCTTACCAGTGGAAATTTATCCTCTTGGATTTATGTCCTGAATGAAGAATATACATCTTGGGGCATGCAGCTTAAAAAAATGAAGCTTTTTAGAAGCACAGGCATTCAAAACAAATACCAGACAGATTCATTTTTACTTACTTTTCTAATCTAAACCATTTAAAAATGAATTTTCATCTATCTAGGCTACTTTTTTTCTTCTGAAGATGGAATCTTGCTTTTGTCACTCAGGCTGGAGTGCAGTGGCATGATCTCAATCTCAGCTCACTGCAACATCTGCCTCCTGGGTTCAGGTGATTCTCCTGCCTCAGCCTCCTGAGTAGCTGGGATTACAGGCATGCACCACCACAGCCGGCTGATTTTTGTATTTTTAGTAGAGATGGGGTTTCACCATGTTGGCCAGGCTGGTCTCGAACTCCTGACCTCATGATCTGCCCACCTCGGATTCCCAAAGTGCTGGGATTACAGGTGTGAGCCACCGCGCCCAGCCATTAAGTTATATTTTGTAGCCTGACAACTTTCTAAGTGAACCACTCTGATTTTCTGTTGACATCATCAGTTCTCACTAGGCTTGTGTACGGAAAATCCATAAACTCACTCCATGTTTTATATATGCCAGTAAGGGAGATTAAAGTACATTTTGCACCTCTTCACTAGAAACAATAATTATTTTCCTAATGATAGTTTATTTCATTGAGTCTTTATAAAAGAAAAATAAAATATATATAAAGGGTTATAATAAGTTACACAGGTATAAAACTGTTATGTAATATTTGAAAGCTTTCATTGGGGTGAAACTTTTGGCTGATTTTATGTTGCAAGCTGTTAATGAGTGTAGTATCACAAACCTGTCAAGAATTTGTGCTGTATAAAATGGAAAAAAAAGCCCAAAATCTTGATTGGAATACAGGTTGTTCATCCCAAAGCAAAAAATCCAAAGTGCTCTGAAATCTGAAACGTTTTGAGTGCTGACGTGATGCTCAAAGGAAATAATTTCACTAATCTCAGATGTAATAAGTAAAAATAAATAAAAATAAAGGAAATGTTCATAGGAGTATTGTGGATTTTTGATTTTTCAATTAGGAATGTTCAACTCTTCTTTTTTGTGATGGAGCCTTGCTCTGTCGCCCAGCCTGGAGAGCAGTGGCGCCATCTCGGCTCACTGCAAGCTACGCTTCCCAGGTTCGTGCCATTCTCCTGCCTCAGCCTCCCGAGTAGCTGGGACTACAGATGCCCACCACCACGCCTGGGTAATTTTTTGTATTTTTAGGAGAGACGGGGTTTCACTGTGTTAGCCAGGATGGTCTCAATCTCCTGACTTTGTGATCCGCCCGCCTCGGCCTCCCAAAGTGCTGGGATTACAAGCATGAGCCACTGTACCTGGCCAAGGAATGCTCAACTCTTAAGTGTAATGCAAATATTTCAAAATCTGAAAAAATCTGAAATCCAAACACTTCTGATCCCAAGCATTTCAGATAAGTGTATTCAACCTATATCGGTTTTTTAGGGGAAACACAAATAGAAGAAGAATCTCTTATTTTGAGATTTAGTCCATGTGATAATTTTTTTGGAATAATTTGTAGAGAGGCATGAGGGCATATTGAGGATTGGGAACACCTTCAAGAAATGTTCAGATCATATCATAGGAGGCCATATAATAATAGGCCATATAATTGGGGTCAGGCTATGGAGTCAGAAGATAATTATTTTTTTTTCCTTATCTATTACTTCTTGCTCTGTTTTCCTAATCTGGGTTTATATTAGTTTCGGTTTGGGGCCCCCTCATTATACCCAAATCTGTTTTGGTAATCAAATTAATTTCTGTGTCAAATATTTGGACTTAGCGTTTTCATTCCTTTCTGCAGCAAATACTGACTGTGGGCTGCCTCTCTAAAAGTGCTGCAGAAGGCGCATACCTATGGCACCAACTTGGTGATGCTGGTGCCTCCTCCAGGGGGATCAGGCAGCTTTGCCACTTGCTGTCCTTTTGGTGGAAGAGATGGTTTGTGATCTTTGAAAAGTAAGTGATTTTTACTTGTGGCTCATTCCTTGATTTATCTCAAATTCTGAAATTTAAGGCTTTCCTGTTATTTTAAACTTACTTTGTTAAACAGTTGTTTGTGGCCGGGCGTGGTGGCTCATGCCTGTAGTCCCAGCACTTTAGGAGGCCAAGGCGGGTGAATCACCTGAGGTCAGGAGTTCAAGACCAGCCTGGCCAACATGGTGAAACCTCGTCTCTACAAAAATACAAAAATTACTTGGGTGCCTGTAATACCCGCTACTTGGGAGACTGAGGCAGGAGAATCACTTGAATCCAGGAAGCAGAGGTTGCAGTGGGCTGAGATCGCACTGTTGCACTCCAGCCTAGGTGACCAAGTGAGACTGTCTCCAAAAAAAAAAAAAAAAAAGTGTGCAATAGCTCTGATTACAAATAGTACCAATTATCAATATAAGGTAGGAAGATTTAAAAATATAATTTTTGTGGTTGACATAATAGTATAGTTTTGAAAACTCTCATCCTGTAAAATTAGTCGAGATAATAATCAGTTCAACAAAGTTTTAGAAAATAAAGTATTTTCACACATTATTTTCGGATGACAGCAAGAACTCTACTCACTATGATAGAATTTCAAAGCTATTAAAATAAGCATGTAAAACACCTGTTTTAGGACACATACAAACTATTAAGCACACAATATAGAAAAAATGTATAGAAACATTTTTTTGTTTTTTTTTTTTGGTTTTTAACTTGGAGATATAATTTTAATAATTAGATAAGAAATATAGGAGATTTTTATTGGTTAAACTCTAAGTAACACAGGACAGTGCCGGAGAGAAGCAGATATTTTAAAAATTGGACTCAAGCGGCATGTATATTCACGTCTTTACTCTTAAACCTGTCTGAAAAACACTTAGAGAAATAGCATTCTTGGTATTATGTTGGTCCAGTGAGGATGAGAAGGTATTTTGACCCAAACATATGGATACAGGCTTCAAGGACACAGTGAGTTATACCATCTGAAGAAACGGGAAACGAAAAGCTGTGTGGCTGGGAATCGGCAGTTTGTAACAACAGCTGGTGCTGTGGGCAGCAGTCTAATAGGGAAACTACTCAGCAGCAAGCCTTGCACACAGACAAAACAAAATCCACACCTGTGGTTGTTTACAAAGGGCAGAAGGGGCCACGGAAGACACATCGTTAATATGGTGGAGGGCACCATTAGCGGTTCTAGCAAAATAAAAAAGAACATGACATACTTTGAAATTCAGAGCCTGACATTAACAAGCTACAGTTTTGACAACTCGTAGAAAGAGATGGTCTCTACAATTTTGAATCTCCAGCACATTTCACAATGCCTGCCTGGCACATACTATGTACCAGGTAAATGTGTGTGGAATTGAAATCAACATTATGTCATATGCACAAATGTTTATACCTCGTTCCAAAAAGGGATAGGGAGGTATTTTGTGGCTATAAGGGAAGAATTGATAAAAACATAAATGTTGATCATGGAGATTTGGAGGAGAAAGACCTCCTGGATTTAAAGCCTGGCTCCTTAACTGTATGACCTAGATAAGTTATTTTTCCTCTTGGAATTCTTAATTTTTGTAAAATGTTCATAATGATGCTTATCTACTGGAGTTGTTAAAAAGATCGGATGCATTTTGTAGACAAAGGGTCTTGCAAAAGGTCTAGCACATAGAAGAGTCTCCGTAAGATTAGGTCCTCTTCTTTACATGCTTCAATCGTGTGTCACTCTTTTTTACCTTTATTAGATTAGTCTAAAGCAGGAGTCAGCAAACCATCCCTCTCTGGCCAATTTCAGCCTATTTTGGAAGTAAAATTTTATTGTAACATTGGCGTGTCCATTTGTTTATGTGTTGTCTGTGGCAGCTTTATGTATGTAACAGTGGAGTTGAGTAGTTGCAGCAGCATCCTTACGGCTTGCAAAGCCTAAAATACTGACTTATTTTTAAATGTACATATATTTTTATAAGGAGACACACTATAGTAATTAAAGCAGTGTATTTTTGGTTTCGGAATGGGCACATAGTTAAACGGAATAATGTATAGAAAAAAAATGTTCCTCAGGCCGGGCTCAGTGGCTCACTCCTATAATCCCAGCACTTTGGGAGGCCGAGGTGGCTGGATCACCTGAGGTCAAGAGTTTGATACCAGCCTGGTCAACAGGACAAAAGCATCTCTACTAAAAATACAAAAATTACCCAGGCGTGGTGGCTCGCCTGTAGTCCCAGCTACTCGGGAGAAACAAACTCAAGAGACACAGTGCTAAAGTTATGTTTGAAAGTGGCAAATGGAATAAGATCAATGATCAAAACGTGTGTGTGTGTGTGTGTGTGTGTGTATGCATGCTGGTGTGGATCGTTAATTATTGACACATTTAACTCATGTAGTCTTCACAATAACTGTATAAGGTAGGTATGTACTTTTATTATTTCCACTCTACAAATGAGAAAACAGATACTCCATGACTTTCCCAGGGCCACCCAAAAGTGTTAGAGCCGGAATTCAACCTCTGGAGCCTGAAGTCCATGCTATCGCTGCACTGTCCTGTGGTAAGGGAAAAGGCCAAGGTGTCTCCTGGTTTTAGAGCTAGTATTTGGAAGGATTGCAGCTGAGCTATGTTTGCATGTATACCAAACCTTATTGAGCACTGACAAACTACAAAGTGTTTCTTACAAACATTTTTACCTTGTGATGTTAATGATCGTAACCCCTCTTGCAGTTACCCTTTTGATAATTCATGTATGTCGGGAAAAGCCTTCATGCAAAAGTTGCCGTTTTGGAAACACTTTGAAAACTCTGGTTCAGTGTTAAATTTAGGAAGATGTGTGGTGACAGTTTTCTTTCTGTGGTCTTATGCGTATATTTTCCATCTCTTTACCACTAATTACCACTAATACGCAACAACAACAAAAGGGTGTGATTGTTAGAAAAATCTTGTAAAGAGCCTAAAACTTAAAAACTTTGAAAATAATCTCCAAACTCATTAAACAGCTTAATATTTGTTTCCAAAGTCCTAGCCTCTGGCTTGGTGTATCATATTTTGGATGGTCAGTTTACAAGTCATGTAGACCTCATTGCTGCTGAGAGCTCACTGGGCCTTAGTGTTCTTGTACCAGGATTGCATAAGAAATAAACACGTTTCTTTGGAAAATTGAAAATTTTAGCAAATTTTTCCTGAAATATCTTGCCAATTCTCTATGGCATTCTAGTTTCCTTGAAAAGAAAGAAATTTTGTTTTGTTCTGTTTTAAGACAGAATCTGTCCTGTCACCTAGGCTGGAGTGAAGTGGCGTGATCTTGGCTCACAGCAGCCTCCACCTCCGGGGCTCCCCGCTCAGCCACCTGAGTAGTTCGAACTGTAGGCACGCACCAACATGCCCAGTTAATTTTGTTTATTTTGTATAGGGCCAAGGTCCCACTATGTCCCCCAGCCTGGTCTCAAACTCCTGGGTTCAAGCAGTGCTCTTGCCTTCACCTCCCAAAGTGCAGGGATTACAGGCATGAGCCATCGCACCCAGCCAGAAAGAATTTTTTGTACTATTTAAGTTTGGGACCCAGTATAAGAAATTTCCATATGCGAAATCACTCTGAATAAACTGCAGTTGAAGATACTGTTCATTAGGTTGTGTGATGGCGCCTGTAACAAATTATCAAGGTTTATACCATAAAAAGGTTTATTTCCTGTAAGGAACTGGTACATTTGTTATTCTGAGAAAGGGAACACTATGTAATACATTGGATTTTCTATTTGCCCTGGCTGGTAGGAAGCTTATGTCTAAGTGTTGGGCTCAGTTACTAGGGCTTTTTGTTGTGTATTAATGTTAATTGGTCTTCTTTTATCTGGATTTTTTGAGATGGAGTCCCTCTCTGTCACCTAGGCTGGAGTGCAGTGGCACAATCTCGGCTCCACCTCCCATTCTCCTGCCTCAGCCTCCCTAGTGGCTGGGACTACAATGGTGTAGTCCCATTGACACCATTGAGGATGGTGTCAATCTCCTGACCTCATGATCTGCCTGCCTCAGCCTCCCAAAGTGCTGGGATTACAGGCGTGAGCCAATGCGCCTGGCCTTACCTGGATTTTTAATGTAAATTCCTTATATCCTTTTTGGAATTAGGTCACACATAAATCAATTACTATCTATTTCTGTGAGACTTAACTCCTTCTCACATAGGAGTTAAACCACATTAAAAATTAAATCCTGGCTTTTTCCAAGTCCCAGCCTAGGGCTTTGCCATGTAAATCTGTGGGAGTAGGGATGTGGGTTTTCAACATTAAACAGCCCTTGTATCTTTGAGCAGTGCTTGTGTGCAATGTGTGTACAGGTAGCTAGTGGCATCACAATTGAATAAAGTATGCTGTTTTTGCAGGCACGTGTTAGGACTCAGTGAACAACATGTTATGGACGTGCTCGAATGAATCTATCAATCAGTGGTGTAACCCTGGGAATCAAGCCTTCCATTATGTCTGCCAGAGACTTGGAGTCCGTCACATCATCACTGAGCCCAAAGGTGAGGTGCACTCATGGTCTTGCACCACCATGGTCATCCCATCACCTCAAAGCTATTGCAGGGAGGCCAGGCAGGAAAGAGACCCCGCCTACTGGGAAGAAGGCAGGCGTGAGCAGACCAGGCAACCAGTCCGCAGGAGCCACAGGCCAGGCCTTCCTAAAAGATACACACCTGTTCCTGTCTTGCCTGTGTGAATGCTGGGGGCAGCGTGTGCTGCAATCAAGGGAGCTCCAGCTTAACTGACCTACATGGCTCGCTCTCCCTGCGGAGCAGCAGTGTGATGAAAACCTTTCACAGGATTCCATCTCTTAGTGCGGAATTGTTGGTAAATGTTTTTAAAGATACTGTTCACATTTCTGTGGTCTTTCTCCTCTTGTCCCCAGCTTGAAGTTGTTGAAGTTGGGGCTTGTCTCTTTGATCCCACATATGAAACCTGCATTGTCCCACACAGGGACAGACCCTTGCCTTGGGAGGGACTGAATGATGACTTCATGTGGCCCCTTCATTTTACAGAGGAGGAATCTGGGTCGTACCATGCTGGCAGAGTTGGTGCAGACCACTCAGAGAGCAGGAACTAGGAACTAAAGGCCAGCTGCTGCCCAGTAATCTAATGCATACTTCCTTCAACTTGAATGGGTTGTGAGCCATCCCTAGGGGCTAGCCCCCCACCTCCTCATGCCAGGGGTTTTTCTTTGCTCCATGGCAACCATCTTTCCTGTCCCTTCTTTCTCATCACCCTGCTCGCTTTCTCCCTGCCTCAGTGGCCTGTCATTGCTCTCTATTGAGTGCCCCTTCCTTCATGGCTCTCCTGGACCTCAGCCAGGCTGGTGTGCTGGGTGGGGACAGCACCTTGTCACCAGGGACAGCTGCTTTGCAGGGCCTGTTGGCCAAGGTCCCGCAGTATTGGACTCAGTGGTGTGTGCAAATCTCTCTTCTCCTTTTGTGTTGCAGCGAGGATGCCGTGAGGAAAGCTGGCATGGCGCACAGTAAATCCAGCAATGATACGGAGAGCCATGTGTTCCTGAAGGCCAAGCCCCGGGTAAGTCCATAGCGGGTGAGTCCCTCTGGCAGAGAGGCTGGGAAAGGAGAGTGTCACAGGCTCTGGAACCTCTCTGTGGGGGGTTCTAGGGAGACGGAGTGGTGTGGTTGCTCGTTGATTGATCACAGGGAGTCGGGATGGGGTGGTTGCTCATTGATGACTGGGAGTCTGGGTGGGGTGGTTGCTCATTGATTGATTATAGGGAATCGGGTTGGGGTGACTATTCATTTATTGATCACAGGGAGTCGGGGCAGGGCCTGTTGGCCAAGGTCCCGCAGCATTGGACTCAGCGGTGTGTGCAAACCTCTCCTTTTGTGTTGTAGCGAGGATGGCAAGAAGAAAGCTGGCGTGGCGCACAGTAAATCCAGCAACGATAAGGAGAGCCATGTGTTCCGTATCTATCTCTGTGTCCATGGCTTTGGCCTCTGAGTGCATGGCTCTGCCCTGATGGTCATCTTTCTTTTCTTAAAGGGTAGCACATGTTTGAGGTTGAGTAGTTCTATCAGCCTATTTCCTGCCTCTCTAGTTTTGGGAGTTCTTTGATTTTGTCTAGTCTCTAAACTTTCTGGTCCAAGCTGGCAGTGTTTCTGCTGGGAGAACATTCTAAAATCCTTGTGGAACTTCTCCGTATGTGATGGAATTCATGGCATCAGATGAGGTTTCTCCACAGATCTTTCCTGGATAATTCTGTCTCTCTTCCTCACTTCTGTGAGATGATTGAGGGGATTCAGGAGTCTCATGTGTAATCTCTTTGGCACTAGGGAAATTTGCAAGACATGCCACACCCTTGGCATTCCTCTACAGAACACACTTTCCTAACAGTGAATCTCCTAGTTTTAGCATTTTGGTTTTTTCCAATCTAAGTAGTCTGAGAATTTCCCAAATAATCAAGTCTAGGTTCCTTTGGCATAACAATTCTTCCCTCAGTTTATCTATTTTTTTGTACTTCTTTATATTTTTTATTATACCCTCTATTCTCTTTCCTCTTGCATTTACTATAAGCAGGAAAAAGAAACCAAGCTGAGTCGTGAATGCTTTGATTGGAAGTCTGCTGAGCTGAATGTGCAAGCTCATTACTTATGATTCTGCCTTCCACACAGCTATAGGACACAATCCAACTAAATTTTTGCCATTATATAACAAAGATCATCTTTGGTCTAGTGTCCAATAACATGTTCCTTGTTTCCTCTGTGCCCTTAGCATCACCTTTAATGTCCATGTGTCTCAGCATTCAGTTTATGATAATGTGTGTGTTCTTGAAGAGAACACAGACTTTCTGTATGAAGTTCCTCGTTTCCTTTAAGGCAGAGTCTGGGTGACAGAGTCTTTAACATCCACATTTCTATCAACAGTGTGTTGGAAGGCAACCTAGGCCTTTTCTGTCATGCTTCTCACAAGTCTACCATCGCTCCTTCATTATCCAGTTCCAAAGTCACTGCCACATTTTTAGGCACCCCACTCCTGGTAACAAAATTCATGTTTCCTGTGGCTGCTATAACAAGTTACTACAAACTTAGTGGCTTAAAAGAACAGAAATTTAATCTCTCACAATTTCCAAGACCAGAAGTTCAAAGTCAGTACCATGGGCAAAAAATCACAGTGGCAACAGGGAGGCTACAGGAGAGGAACCTGTTCCTCACATCTTTCAGCTTCTGGTGACTGCTCGTACTCCTTGGCTTGTGGCTGTATCACTCCTGTCTTCAGGGCCAACATCACAGAGTAAATAAATTCTCTTTATGTTCCATCTTCACATCTCCTTTTCCTCTGTGTGTGAATTTCTGCCTCCCTCTTAGGAGGATACATGCAATTGCACTTAGGGGCCCGCATATAACCCAGGATAACCCTCCATCTCAAGATCTTTAACTTCATCACACCTGTAAAGAACCTTTTCCCAAATAAGGTAACATTTACAGGTTTCAGGAAATAGGACCTGATTTCTTTAAGGACTGTTATTTAGCCTACTACAGATAGAAAGTTGATTAGTGATTGTCAAGGGCCAAGGATGCTGTTGGGGGAAATGGAGTTTTCATTTGGAATGATTAAAATATTCTGAAATTGGATTGTACATGGTGGCTCACGCCTGTAATCCCAGCACTTTGGGCGGACTGTATATTGTGGCTCACGCCTGTAATCCCAGCACTAGGCAGGCAGATCACTTGAGGTCAGGAGTTTGAGACCAGTCTGACCAATATAGTGAAACCCCGCCTCTACTAAAAATACAAAAATTAGCAGTCGTGGTGCACATCTGTAGTCCCAGTTGCTCAGGAGGCTGAGGCAGGAGAATTGCTTGAACCTGGAAACGGAGGTTGCAGTGACCTGAGATCATGCCACTGCGCTTTAGCCTGTGTGACAGAGGGAGACTCTATCTCAAAAAAGAAAAAAAGGAGGAAGAGAAAAAATGTTCTGAAATTGATTTTGATAATACGCACAACTCTGAATGTAGTACCAGAAACCACTGAATGGCATGCTTTAAATGGGTGAATTGTATCTCAGCCAACCTATTACATATAGATTTGCAATGGAACCAGTAAAGGTGATGGATAACAGGTCTGTCCTTCCTTGGTGGCCAGGTCAGGACAGCATGATCTCCTTGGGTAGGGGGCGATCTCCTTGCTGTGGCTGCCCAGTCCCTGATTAATGAAATCGCTCACTTGGACAGAACTGGGACAGAAGCAGTGGAGCAGGCTGTCTGGGGGCATTGGCCATCTTCTTAGAGAAGGCCCTCCATGTGGCTTCCTCCAGGAATCCAGATCTTTGGGCTGCCCTTTTTTTTTTTTTTTTTTTTTACTTAATTGCAAGATTTAATAGAGTGAAAACAGAGCTCCCATGCAAAGGGAGGGGACCCAAAGGGGGCTGCCGCTCCCTGCTCGAATGTCTGGGTTTATATCCTGATCATTGTCCCTCCCCCTGTGCTCTCAGGCGATACATGATTTGACTATTTCTTTACCTCCTGCTTTAGCCTTATTTGTATTTTACTGAGTCCTCTTTACTGCCTGATTGGGTGTGAGCTGAGCTACAAGCCCCATGTTTAAAGGTGGGTGCGGTCTCCTTCCACAGCTAGGCTTAGGAATTCTTAGTCGGGATCCTTGGGCTGCTCTTGCTGCAGCCTGTCCATGGTCCGGGTCCATCTCAGCTATGTGAGGGCGCACACAGTGTTGTTAGAGTGTCTTGTGTGTGCTCGACACACCCCTACTCACTTCTATAGGAGAACACAGGACATAGGAAACCTTTAAAACATACATGTGATTCTCTAGTCACAGTTTTAGGTTCAGGCTGAGCTGCTTGGGGCAAGTGGGGCACCCCCCCATCCCCGGGGGAAGCCCAAGTCCAGGACACAGGCTGCCCCTCAGAGGGAGGGCTGGCTTGTGGGGGCTGCCGGCTTCCCAGCACCAGCTGGGCCTCAGCCCTCCCAGCATTCCTGCTGAGCACTGTGGGGCACCTGTGCTCAGCAGGGCACAGGGGCATCAGGGATCCTGCTGCAGGCACCCCTGTGCCGCTCGCATGAGGACCATGTCCTCACCGTGAAGGATGAAGAGCAAGACCCTCAGGACCTGCGTCCTCAGAATACCATGCACTGCACCACCCATTGAGAGGCGACCTGACAGCTGGCGGGGCCATGCAGTGAGTGCCTCCCTGTGCTGCCCGCCACTCTGGGCAATGGCCTGCTGCCCTCTAGTGATAAGAGGGCTCCCCTTTTTCATGTGTACTACCCCATCATTTGTGATTGTTACGATAAAGTCATGATTCCTGTGTGCATCAGGAGTTGTCACTGTGTACCCTTCTCCATGAACCTGGGCCTGCTGTCCTGTCAGGAAGCTGTCAGCCTTGGGGCCAGCCCTGACCTCAGCCCTCCTTTTCTGACATACTGTCCCATTACTTGGCTTGTGGTTCATCCTCCAGCTTCCTGGCAAAGTTCCCGCCCCCTGAAGCAGGAAGAGGCTGAGATTAATGCCAAGGAAATGGGGCTGTGGGCCTGGGAGGACTGTGCTGCCGGGCGAGGGTGGCACTGAGCTGGCCACTTCCAGACAGTGGACACAGCTGTGCTGTGGTGGGAGGGGCGGCGCAGGTGTGGCCACGGCACTCTGGAGACAGCCTTCTGAGGCCTGTCAGCGATATTGTCAGGGCGGGAGGGGACAGCGTCTTGCCCCCAGGAGAATACAGTCTGGGCAGGAGACCCAGAGTGATCGTGTGTTTGGAAGGCAGCTCCAGCCCAGCTAGGGGACCAGGAAAACCCTCCTGCTTCCAGGGGGGTGTGTGCGGCTCTGCCTATGCCTGTCTTCCAGGGCAGTTGGCAGGTCCCAGGATAAGCAAGACTCCTTGCTGGCCGAGGAAGGTCCCTGAAGGCAGCAGGGGCTATGAAGAAACACCTGATAGCCAGTGAGGAACAAGGCACATGACTAGGAAAGAAAGAGCTTTATTTTCAGTCTTCAAAAGGTAGGGCAATACTTCTTTTTTCTTTTTTTTTCCTTTGAAACAGAGTCTCGCTGTGTCGTCCAGGCTCGAGTGCAGTGGCGCGATCTCGGCTCACTGCAAGCTCCGCCTCCCAGGTTCACACCATTCTCCTGTGTCAGCCTCCCGAGTAGCTGGGACTACAGGCGCCCGCCACCATGCCTGGCTAATACTTTTTGTATTTTTTTTTTAGTAGAGACAGGATTTCCCCATGTTAGTTAGCCAGGATTGTCTCAATCTCCTGACCTCGTGATCTGCCCGCCTCTGCCTCCCAAAGTGCTGGGATTACAGGTGTGAGCCACCGCGCCCGGCCAAGGTAGGGCGATACTTAACTTCGTCATGTGCTTTTGTGTAAATACCAAATAGCAAAATACTAGAACACAAAACAGTTTGTCAGTTTGGAGATCAAGTACTTTTTCTATATTGAGTGTCATTTATCTTGGAATTTAGCTGGGTTGAAAAGTAGTGGAATTAATCAGGAAATGCTATGGAGAGCCAGTCTCCAGCTGCAGGTACGTGTGCTTGGCACTGACCAGCTGCAGACACAGATGCAGGCGGCTCAAAGCACCAAGCGGGGCAGGTGCCAGTTCTGCAGTGCCTGCAGCCTCTCCTGCCACTTGGCAAAGTTATTATTCAGGGTCTGCTTCAGTTCCGGGCAGGAGGGCACGTACTGTCACAGGTGTGGGGCTCAGAAGCAGGCTGGGGATGGGTGGAGGGACTGTCACCTTGAGCATCCCCAGGAGTGGAGTGTGCTGGGAGTAGGGCCTGCATGGCCCTCACTGGGACCCAGTGAGACCACAGCCGCCTCTGTTTCTGTGCTGCCACCCCTCCTTCCCCACTCCCTCCCTGGGGCCCAGGCTATAGGGCTGCCCTGCTGTCTCCATGCCAGGGGACTCACCATTTCTTGAAGAGGCGCTTGGTGGAGACCTTGGGGAACTGCACAGCTTCCTGGTCCCTGGGTGTAGGAATAGCAGTGAGCCCCAAACAGGCCCCAGGGATGGGGCAGGGGTGACCAGACACTCACCTGGGAGAGCTAGACCCAGCCTCCTCTGGGGCCACCGGGGCTTCTGGCCCTTTTCCAGGAGGGACTTGAGGTACGCAGCCAAAAGACAGGGACGTCAGCATGGTGGGGCCCGCGGCAGCGCCAGGCTGCCCAGGCCCACCCCCACCACCCAGGGCCTCACCTCTTGGGCCTGCAAGATGTTGACGTTTCACAGCTGGCAGATGAGCACACGGTGCGGAAGTGTGGTGGGCTTTTGCAGGTGTGGGCGCAGGGTCTTTGGGGGCTGTGCACCCATCATCTCCCAAGCCCAAGGGTGGAGCTGTGTAGCAAATGCCCCCAGCCTTCTCTGAAGACAGCAGCTGACATCGTCAGGGCTGCTGCAGCTTCCCCACTCAGTTAGAGGCAGAGAGGACATAGCCCAGGGCAAGCAGCAGTGCCAGGGAGGGCCAACTCAGAACAGAGAGGCCTCAAAGAAGGCCAGCAGCAGCCAAAACAGAATCTGGTAGCTACTGAGGCTGAGCCTGGGGCCATGGGTGTGGCCAGCTGCCTGCTTCTGCCCATGAGGCTTAGCAGGTGCCTGCTGGCCACCGCAGGCTAGTGAAACGACAAGAGACAGAAGCTGCCAAGGAAGTCATCCCAGGAACACAGAGTTGACCGCAATCTGGCCTGCAAAGTGATGCACAGACAGAGGCAGGAGGGCATGGGGTGGTGGCACCACAGACCTCAGGACAGCAGCACCCCACCCCCACAGGCCACCTTGGGCAGGAGCATTGAGAACACTTTCTGAAGAGGTCAGGTTGTCCCTCCTGCCCATTCTCTGCGGTTGATGGCAGGCGACCACTGGAAGAGCACGCAGACCAAGATGGCAATCTTGTAGCTCCAGATGGGCTGCAGCTCTGGGTGCCCCTGGTACTCAATGTCAAACCTTTGCAGCGCATTGATGATCTAGAAACTCAGGCCACAGGGACAGGTCAGAAGACACAGCTCGGACACAACTCAGAGGAGTGGAGCTGCATCTGCTCATAGGGGAGGAAGGAGCTGGGGACAGTTAAGGGCCCAGCCTGCACCTCTGGGACAGGGGCTTCTCACCTGGTACCGACCCGGAAACAAGAGGGTGAGTCTGTCCTCACCCCCGATGCAGTCAAGGAGCTGCTGCTTTCTGTTCCCATCCTGGGTGGTGGCCAAGGCAAGTGAACTGTGTGAGCTGTGCTCCGCTGAGTTGCCAGAAAGAAGCACCAAGGAGAAGGGTGGGGACTGGTCTTCACCCCACCAGCCACTTAACAGTGAGACATGACGCT